AAATGAATATCTTAATAGTTTTGAATTTTTTAATATTTTACAAGAATAATCTATAAATTATATACTAAATATAAGCGGTTGGGATAACAACACATTACATAATGAACCCTGCAAAATATATATATAAGCTGTATCTTTGAATTCTTACCGTATATATAAGGATCCGGCTTCTCTGCCCTCCCACTTCTCATACACTTTCATCCCTTCTTATTTTATGCAATCACGGTTAAATCACGTTAATATTTTATATTAATTTTTTTATAGAGATGATAAGATAAAAAATAATAGTAATATAAAATATTAACATGATTTAACCGTGATCGTAAAAAAAATTATATATATATACATGAGAAGTGGGAGGCCAAAAAAGCCAAGTCCTATATATAACTCCCTTATCTTCTTCCATTAATCTCTCTTCCCAACATTTACAATGTCATTGTCAAGTATCAAATGGGCGGGGGACCCAAATTTTTATAGATATCTACCTGCAAAACTTTCTAGGAGCTCACATGCTTTCATCCAATCAATGGATGTCACCTACTATTCTCTTTAATCCCCATTATTATCAGTCCTTTCATTTCTCACTTAATTTTAATATACTTTATTTCAACTACGCACTTAATTTTTTTTGCATATAAATATAGGAAAATTAATAAAAAAAATTAAAATTTTTAAGTTTTAATGATAAGGACAAAATAAATGGTAAAATAAATAGTACCATGATTGAATTTTAATATAAAAATTTAATTTTTTGTTAAAATAAATAATACCGGAAGTTTTTTATTAAAATTTCTCTATAAATATAGGACTTTGGACCCTATGAAATTTTCAAATAAGAACACGCCATTTCGATGTTAACGGTTACTAACTTGCTAGGAACATTTCAAACATTTACTATATATATTATGCAGATTAATAGTGATTATCACACAGCCGACACTTATAGTACTAACTAGAAACAGTAGTAGCAAGAGAGAGAGAGGTTTATCTTTTTTTGCTCGGAAATATCTTTGTCGAAGATTGGAAATTTCGTAGAGGGGATTAGAAAAATGTAATGTAGAATGTCAATTTTGTAGCCAATTATATCGAGTGTTGGATGCGGCAACGAGAAAAAGATGGACCATATTTCTCATTCCATCGTGTATTACCATATATATTTCCTTTATGTTGAAGGCTACCCCCATTGAATCAGATTCTTCTCTAACCCGCCCTATATAGATAGCTACATCAAACCAATTCATCATCCATTCTTCTTGGACTCTGCCTTTGCTTTTGATGACTAGTGAGACTCATTACAATCTCATCCGTATAGGAGGAGGATAGAATTGAGACTTTTGGTACTATCTACAGTATCTCTTGAAAATAAACGTGTGAAATCATTATTTGCATTCCTAAGATGAGTCGGAAGACTCTTAGTGATGTCCATAATGTATGTTGATTGAATTATTCCATGGTTATAATCTGCGTGATCACCAAGAACATTAAAGATCAACTTGCATGGAAAGATTAATTGTTGCGTGACGTAATTGTCTAATAATCTAATGTTATGCAGAAAGAAAACTTACAAATAACATTATATTGGTGTACCGAGACATCATAATTTTTGCCTGGCTAGCTTCAGACAATTCAGTCCGTATAGGGCCATTGCGCATCTTCCCCTTCAATCTAGTCCAGAATTTCGATAATGTGTTCCACACCCAGGAGTTCTCCACCGATGCATCGTCGTCATCATGCATTGGTGAACGTACGTCACTTAAGCTGTCAGCATTTGTACTATGCAATAGATCTAGGGTACTAGAAGCACCACGTGGCACATGATTAACCTTGTTAATTGATGGAACTTCAGAGGTACACACGATTTTCTCATCCCTGTGCTTATCCTTTAACTTTGGTAATGCTTGCCAGGCAAATTCTCTGGGTTGGAACAACTTTAGAACCTTCATGTGTACTCTATATTCATGATAGAAATATGGATCAGTTATAAAGCTTATTTCATATCGAATTTCAACGATTTTATTTTTTTAAGTTTCACTTTATATATTATTTCTGTAAAATATTAGTGCTGAGAATGAATCCAACATTGATGAGATGAGGGACTTTGCATGTGCTTATAAGTAATTGGACTACTATCTATGTTGTTAATTGATTTTATGTTGGAACCACAAATTTCTTCAATTAACCAAATCGAAAATGTTTGAGATATCTAATTGAGTTCAAAAAAATTTACGAATGCTATGTTTTAAGAAACATTGACATTTCATCAAGACAATTAAATGGGTAAATGAGTTTGGATTGAATTGATTTTTTGCAAAAATGATCTACGATTGAAGACTCAAAAAATAAACGGTTCGAATTATTGAAATTCGATGTTGAGTAAACCCCATAATCAGTCCCCATTTTTATAAAAAAATAAAATAGAATCCCTTTGAATTAAGACTATGTTCTCTTTATATGAATTATTAATTAATATATCACTTGATTTTACTATTCTTGAAGATAAAAAAATAAAAATAATTGTCAAACAACCCTATATTTTTTAAGAAAAAGTAAAAAAAAGAAAAAAAATAGTTTTGAAAAAGAACAAATGAAGGTGTAGTGAATAGTACCAGAAAAAAGTAAAAATGTGAATTTACGTTAAAATAAACAGTACTATAAAAGTTTTGTTAAAACTCCTTATTTTTTATCGATCTATTTCTGAATATAGGTTCGAGTTTCGAGTGCTGGAGCAAATGCCATCTCTATCAGGATGTCGCCGTATGTGCCAACGCCATAAACCCTGTGAAAACATATGAAGTTTCTCTCAGCAAGTTGTGTCATATTTTTCTCATAGCTTTTGCTACCATAAGCTGGACCAGAGAGAGTTTGGCGTAGGTAAGCCATGTACCAATTTAAAAGTGTCAAGTCCAACGACCAACATATCATAGCATTTTACTTTGGATAATTGGCGGAAATGAGGATTTTACCAATTTTAATTGTCAAAATAACCAAAATTAAATAGCAACGGCATATTGATCTAATATTGATGATATTGTATTATCATTGACGAAATTTTGATGATATATCAACAAAATTTCCAAAGCAGTAATTAGTTTAGCAACTGAGATTTGTGTTTTCAACTACAAAACTTTATTTTACTAAGTGGAGTCTACTGTATGAATCTTATAACACTATTGCGGTCAGTTTTGCGTCAAGTCTTCCATTAGCTCTGAGCACTCCGTATCCTTTCTTAGTTTATTTTAAAGTTTTCATAGGTCTTCCTCAATATCATAGTTGCATCTTCTACCGAAGCATCAGTAGGTCTTCGGTTCATATGCACAAACCATTTTAACCAATTTTCTTTCATGTTATCTTTAATTGCGGCCACTCCTACTTTACACATGGTATCCTCGTTCTTCATCTTATCCTATCTCGTGTGGCCACACATTCGACGAAGCATTCTTATCTCTGCTGCACTAATTTTTTCTTTTGACCAACAAAATACATATGAAAGAATACCTTTATCCATTAGGAGGCAGATTGTCTGCCCTCCTGTTTGGGTGCCTTTCTCATCCTCTCGTATTTGTGCGGTCACGGTTAAGCCACGTCAATATTTTATATTCTTATTATTTTTTGTCTTATTATCTCTATAAAAAAAATTAATATAAAATGTTGACTTGGCTTAACCATGACCGCACAAAATAGAAGAGAATGGAAAGGGCACCCAAACAGGAGGGCATACAATCTGCCTCCAATCCATTTATCCATTAAGCCAAGTTCTAATCAGAAGTCAACCATGAGGATAATCCCTTAACTAAAGTAAACTAAAACCACCAATTGGCTTAGTTGTTTGAGGTATGGTACATGTCAAGGTGTTATCTAGGGACAAGCATGCCTTTGCTATATGATCAAGAGTCATATCGTTGATGATTAAAGTTCAACTCTTTCTCTGTTTCCTGAACAACTTTGCTTTGTTTTTTTGGCTTTTGGTTTCGTTTAACTACACACATATTTTTAGAAATCATCCGCATAACTCCATGCTAAACATATCACTTAGGTGGTAATTACCTTTTTTCTCTACTCATCATCATTAATACAACTTGGTGTGCACATTTAGATTTCACTTTATTGTATAATCACATCTTTTGACGAGTGAAATACACACATAAGATATTCTCACTTGGTAACACATAAGATATTCTTGGGCATGGCAATATCATTTCCCACTCATGGCAATGTAATTTCAAATTTGCCATCCACATTTCCTAAATTTAATGTTTTTTTCATTTCATGCTTGTTCTTTCCTATTTCTCTTGTGATATAGGAAATTCTTAAGTCGGAATGAACAAACTATATGATCATCCAATTAAACCTATTAAAGAGTGTGACTGTAAAGTTGAAAGAGTGAGGTGTTTCGTGTCTTGAAGACTTCAACAGTACAACCACAAACCACTTGATATGTTCGTCCTAACTTGAGAATTTCTTTTGTTTTACTAGAGAAAACTCATTGAAGAAAAAATATATAATTGTAGCGACGATCCCTTAACATTAGTCAAATTGGAGTGTTAGTCTTTGAAATAAAAATTCGGTAGTCTTGGTTCTTGAGCTTGTTATAATGTGGAACAATGATCATTCTCGCTAACTCCGTTAGAATTTTCATCTATTTTTTATCCCTTCAAAAAACCTTTTATTTTGGACATAAGTTCTTACAAATTTAGCCGAAAGAATCATTGTTTTGCATTATAACAAGTTCAGAAACCAACATCCAAAGATTTTTAGTTTAGAAGCCAAAACTCGAATTAAACTATAAAATTAAAGGACGGTTGCTTTAATTTTATAATTAAAAAGGAAAAAGAAGGAGCTTAGCTAAAACAACATGGGGCCCCATCTTTAATGCCAACTACCATATGAATGAGAGAACCATCACACTCCAAGCCTTGTCACACCTGATAAAATTAAAATCTTTTGTCCTAAAACCATATATACTCACCAGTCAGTCCTCCATATAAAACGCAGAGGTGCATCACACGCAAAAACAAACCTGTCGCAATTTGCATCACAACTCTCGCCCAAGCCAACAAAATGCTGCCAATCTTCTTCCCTCCATACAAAGATTTTGGTACTCCCTTCCCGATATAAATACGACAACACTCCTCCCCAATCCACTCACCACTCTCCACTCTCCACTCTCCACCTATTTCTTCACTTTTAATCCTCCCCCCAAAATTTAAAAAAACTAAATTAACAGTCAACCATGGTCAACACAATCCTCGACGCTCTCAACGTCCGCGTCGTCGGCTCAGGCGACAGGTACGTCGTTTTCGCCCACGGCTTCGGCACCGACCAGTCCGCCTGGCAGCGCATTCTCCAGTTCTTCACGCCTTACTACCGCGTCATTCTCCACGACCTCGTCTGCGCCGGCAGCGTCAACCCGGACTACTTCGACTTCCGCCGTTACACCACCCTCGACGCCTACGTCGACGACCTCCTCAACATTCTCGACGCCCTCGGCGTCAACCGCTGCGCCTATGTTGGTCACTCCGTCTCCGCCATGATCGGCATCCTCGCCTCCATCCGCCGCCCCGAACTCTTCTCCAAGCTCGTCCTCATCGGCGCTTCCCCAAGGTAAGTTAAAATCCACACATTCTCTCAAGAAATTGCTAGTTACCCGATTCAATTTTTATCCGAATGCAAAAATCCAATTGTTTAATTTTCGTTTTAGGTTCTTGAACGATGGAGATTACCATGGAGGATTCGAGCAAGAGGAAATTGAGAAAGTGTTTTCTGCAATGGAGGCGAACTACGCGGCGTGGGTCAGCGGCTTCGCGCCGCTAGCCGTCGGGGCTGACGTTCCGACGGCGGTCCGAGAATTCAGCCGGACCCTGTTCAACATGCGACCGGACATCTCACTTTTCGTGTCTCGGGCCGTGTTCAACAGCGATTTGAGGGGGGTTTTGGGGCTGGTGCGGGTGCCGTGCTGCATAATCCAGACCTCGAAGGACGTGTCCGTACCGGGGTCGGTGGCGAACTACCTGAGGGACCACCTGGGCGGGCGGAACACGGTGGTGATGCTGGAGACGGAGGGGCACTTGCCGCATCTGAGCGCGCCGGGTCTGCTGGCTAGGAAGCTCCGCCACGCCCTTGCGTCGTAGATGGGTCCCAACGGAGGGCCAGGAGGGGAGGAGGCGGGGTCGAGAGAGGACGAAAATAGCAATAAGGATGGAGACGGCGACACGTGGTCTAATAAGCTACGGACGTTAGTCCTTTCCGAGCGAAAATAGTTTTGGATTTATGTGATGTACGCAGGAAGGATAAGAATCTCCACGTGAATGTCACGTGATGACGTAACCTTCTTTTGTCAAATGGCATTGGCCCAAATAAATCCTTTTATTTTTGTCTTCCATTTTTCTTGTGCTTTACGATTTTTCTTGTTTGGTTTGGAATCTTGCTTTAATTCTGCAATTGTACTTGACTGCTTATATCCACTTTTCTTTTTAACTTCACAAGAATATATTCACTTTGTTCCAAATATATGATTGTGTTTTGTTTTCAGGAATATGATTGTTTAACGCTGTCAACACCAATCACAAGTAACAATGAAATATGAAATACCTACATCAATGCGTAACGGTTTGTGACGGACTTGTAGCTGAAGTGTTTATACTCTTGAGTAGTTTAAACTTTTTTTTTTTCTCTCCAATCTCATTTTTATAATATAAAAAAACCAAGCTAATGTTGTACAATAAGTAATAAGATTAATCTAAATCATACATAATAAGTTAATAACGATAAAGTTACCATGGAGATGAAGGGAAAAAAATTATATTTGTCCAATTGGTAATTTTTACAAAATCTCGACCATGCCCTCTATTTGTACCTCAAGATAGTTTTGTCTGATGTGCACAGAGTTTCTTCGTGTTTTTTTAAGATGGAGGCTGAATCCAAGGGAAACAAAAATAGACCTAAAACATACATTGTTGTAGACATACTTAAGGCTTCGTTAGACAAGGTGCTCGACACAACAAAAGGACGATCTAAAAACATATGAAAAGTGAATCAGCAAGTTTATCCGCTACCATAATTTTTCCTCGTAAACACGAATTAATTGGTCGGCAACTCTAGTATTTGTGAAGCAAGTCCGTACAAGACTGAATGAGGCTAAAGAGAAGATGATCGGTACCAAAATTAACTTATTTATTCTTTGTAATCCATGCACAAAATTCGTTCCAATGAAGTTAATGACGAGAATAAGGAACAGAATATTGTTGCACATGACTTGTACCTCAACTAGTTAAATTCACTCGATATCTTAAATTCATTTATTCTCCCCAATATGGATTGTATAAGAAAAGATCAATGCAGTATCATTTTTATACTCGGTTAATATTCATTTTTATTGTTCAAAATACTCGGTTAATATTCTTAGGTTAAAGCCACTTAGTACTAGGGTCTAGTAGCATTCATCTTCACTTGTAAGTGAGAAAAACAAATTTGAACCACATTATGAGCCCACCTCCTCCCAATATCGTTTGTTCAAAAAATATTCTTTAAGTTAAAAGGGGTTGTGTCATTTAACATTAGTTTTCCGTTTTGGGCTTCTACGTGTAATTTCACTTGTCAGAGGCTTCAGAGCCCAGTCATGGAGGCTCTAGCTTACCTGACAAATTAGGCCTGTCCAGTATTTTCTTGTTGTGAAGGCCTGCTAATTGTTATTTCCCCCTATTGGGCTTATCGTTTACAAGGGATCTTGTCATTTTACATTTATTTATAAAAAAAGGCGAAATGCTAAGGAGATTTTCAGAAGTGAAAGAGTTCCGGAATTCTCTGTCACCTCATGTTTTTCACACAATATTTCATAATGTTAGTAAAAAATTGAAGTTAAATTGTGACCTGACAAAAGTTCCATAGAAAGTCTCAGTTTGATATGGTCTTCTTAGCATAGACATGGAATCGTCGCATTCCCAAAATTGAAAAATATTTCACGGCGGGTAATCATGAGTTAGTTAAATTGTTGTGTATTAGTAGATGTTAATATGAGCTAGGTTAATCAGTTGATTTCAGTTACTTTTCTAGCCTTATCGTCAACTTTGGACACACAAGTTGCACCCTTCACTTGTCAAATGCGTTCATCAATTTCGATTTGTAGGAGCAAAAAAAAGTATATAAATAGAATAAAAGTTTGGCTAAAGCCATGAAAGGATAATGTCGGAGAGATTAAATTTTTAAGAAAATGATCATTGCCATATCCTTTTCCTGGAGATCTCGTGCTCATGGCCGTTCATCGTACATCGTACGGTCAATTTTTATTAGGTACTATTTATATTTAATTTTAAATTTTAAATTTCAAATGATTTCTTACCGCATGATGTACGATGAACGATAAAAAATTTAAACCAACTTTGGAAATTAAATGATGTGTCACTAATAAAAACTAAGCACGTTAATCAACACTAATCAATGTCGATTTGTAGGGGAAAAACGTATATAAATAAAATAAAAGTTTGGCTAAAGCCGTGAAAATATAATACTAGAGAGATTAAATTTTTAAGAAAATGATCATTGCCAGATCCTTTTCCTGGGATCTCGTGATCGTGGCCGTTCATCGTACATCGTGTGGTCACTTTTCATTAGGTACTATTTATATTTAATTTTAAATTTTAAATTTCAAATGATTTATTACCACACGATGTACGATGAACGATCAAATTTTTAAACCAACTTTGGAAATTAAATGATATGTCACTAATAAAAAATAAGCACGTTAATCAACACTAATCTAATCATCAACATCCACATTATTTGATTTACAAAATTTGGTCTCTCTGACATTATCTTTACACAGCTTCAGCCAAACTTTTATTCTATTTATATATATTTTTTGCCCCTATAAATCGAAATTGATGAACGCATTTGACAAGTGAAGGGTGCAACTTGTGTGTCCAAAGTTGGCAAGAAGCTTAGAGGAGTAACTAAAGTCAACTAATTAACCTAACTCATGATTAACATCTACTAATCCACAACAACTAATCCGAAATCAATAAAACACAAGTTAATTATGATCTTACGAGTTGGACTTTTTTGCATGTTCAAAATTGGGGGCCGAAAATCGGGTGTCGGTTCGTTGTAGAGGAAAAGGACGAAAGTGAAGTGTAGAGGAAAAGGACGAAAGTGCCATTTGACCCCAATTTTTAAAGATTGGGTGGGTAGGAATAGCAAAGTAGAGGGTCTGTATCGTCACAGCCGCCCGATGACTCGAGCAAGACCTGGTCAGTTTCTGAACCGGATTAGGATTCTTTCCTATCTTCTTTTCATTATCTTTCATCTCCTCCTCTCACTCTCTATTTTATCTCCCTATTTCTAAAAAATTAATATAAAATGTTAACGTGATTTAATCGTGACCGTTCAAACAGGAGGAGAGAGAAAATAAGGAAAAAAAAGAGGGGAAAGAATCATACTTTTTCCGAACCACCCATGAGCCCACCCTATCTTCTCAAAAATGTTGATTAGTGGTGCAATTAAATCTTTTCGGGTATGAAAACGAAATTGAATAATTATGATTAATTAGGCCGCAAAAGAGACGGACGACTCAGTAAAGGGAATAGTGACGTGGAAGCTTCTTTGTCACAAGGAATCGAATCGAATGTGGAAACAAATGGTGATGGAATGGGACAAGTAGGCTACCATTTGAGCTCATGTTTTGAACCTGGTTCAAAATTGGTGCATAATCAAGTGGGTTGAATAAAATTTGGACACATCAAGAAAGTTTAGGACATAAGTTTTGATTTGGCCGAATTTAAGAAGGTTGCCGACGACAAATGAATAGCCTCACACGCAAAATCCTAAACGTTATGTCTTCAAGTGGTTAAGATTTCAGAGCTTGTTTAGCGACTGATTATTAACTAATATCGATGTTGTTTTAACAAGTGTTGTCTAATTCCACAGGTATTAAGTAATGTTCTTCAACACAAGTGTTTTTATTGAAGCATGGAGATAATTTACTCTTGCACAATCTTTTAGTAGTTTTGGATAGTCTGCCATATTGTTCGTTGTTTCTCTTTTAGACCCAACAATAGTCTTTGGTAATTGAAGCTCAACAACTTGCATGCATGCATGCATTCCCAGCAACAACGTCGCTACTTCTCCAACGATATCCTCTCTCTCGATTGTTTAATCTCCTTATTTCGTGTTGGTTATTTTTTGTTCACTCATTATACTTTCTCTCTAAATATCTTCCGTATGATCGTATCCAAATCAAATTGATCTGACTCGTGTGAAATGACCAAATTAGATTGATCAAGTCTTAAGGAAAATGATCTAAGGGATAGAGAAAGAAACATATTACAGAGAGAGTTGATGTCAACCCCTACATTTGAGAGGAGGTTTTTGTATAGTGAAATGGTTTCCTCACTTTCCCTTTGTCCCCTTGCGATCATTCTTTGTAATCCTCAAATTTAACTCATCCACAAGGGATCAGTGGATATAAACAAATAGAAAAGTACATAAGAAGAAAAGGAAGTGAGAAATTCACTACCCTTATTATTGAGCGTGGTGCTATATAAACAAAATTTATGCACCAAATTTATTTAGGATTTAAGGTGTGATGCATTTTATACCCGTTGGAAAAAATTATTATTTAGATTTATTTTAATGTTTGGTATTTTGGGGTTAGCCCGTTAGTATTAGGGTTTCATCTCCGTGCCTATTAGGGTTATGTTAGTTTTCTATATATATGGTACTTTGTAACTCTATAGAAAAATAAGTTATTCACAATGTAGTCTCTTAGGTTTTTTGTAGCCGTTCCGGCATTCTCGTTTGTTTAATAATATTTCTATTATTCTTGTTCGTTGCGCACTCTGATATTCAACTTGGTATCATAGCAGGTTTGATCTTTCGGGATTTAATCTGTTCTTGATAGGAATCCATGTTGTTTGTTTGATATTAGTTTTGAAAAAAAAAAAAGAATCAGTTTGCTTCGTCATGTCATCGTCCTCTGCTACCGTTCGAAATTGCATCCGCACCTGATATGCATCACCGCTCGTGCTGTTTCACGTTTTCCCTTGAAGTCATGTAAACCTGCATTTGTTTCGTATCTGCACTGTGCTGTTTTTGCATGAATTGAAGAAGGGCAGAGAAAAAGGAATAAGAAAAAAAAGAAAAAAAACAGAAAGAAGACGTGATGTTTGAAGGAAAAAAGAATAGGAAAAAAAAAAGAAAAAAAAAGGTAGAAAAGAATAAAGACAAAAAACGTTGGTTTTTTGTTTGAAGGCCCACACGGGTAGAAAGAAATATGGCCTGTTTGGTTGGATTTTTTTTTTATTGTTTGTTTGGAAGTTGGTATTGGTATTGGTATTCGCATTGGCATTGATATTAGTATTGGTATTAGCATTGGTATTGGCATCGGCA